ACCTGGGACTGTATCCCAGGACCCTGAGACTATGACCCGCGCTGAAAGCAGATGCTTAACTGACTGAGCCGCCAGACACACCTCACTAATTTTTATTTTGTTTTATAAAACACCAGGCATTGATATCTTTTCAAGTCAGTTGAGAAAATAAATGCTTTAAAGGGAGTTGTTTTAATTCAATATCTCATTATGTATGACATTATTAAAGTCAATGGTTCCATATATTAAAAAAATTTTAATCTTTGACATGAGTTTTAAACATGCAATAGTTTTAATTTAAAGTAAAGGTGAACAAATTTTGTTACACGTGTTTTTGGAAGCACTTCTGTACTTCAAAAAAAAATACCTCAGAATCATTGACTCTCAGGGTTGGAAGGTCGTTTAATACAACCATCCATTTGATGCTTGAAACTTTTTGCTAAATCAAATAATAATAATAATAATTAAAAAGGATGGGGATAAAAAAAGAAATGGGTGTGGCTTAGAGACAGCTTTAAGCAAGATTTTAAAAATCTAGTTTGAAAGCTTTTAAAGTGTAATTATACAGGGAGGTGGCAGTGTTTTTATTTGCTGTTTACTTTTGATCTATTACCTATTTTTGGTAGAGTGAAACATGCTTTTGTAAAAATGTTTATGGTTTCTTGACTATGTCAAAGGACTTGTTTGAAGTTGCCTTGTAATTCAGAGGTTTTTCTTTTTGTAACTAGTATTAGTGTTTGGCTTTGGCTGCCTGAGTAATAGCAAGTTAGTCTGGATTTGGGTGACTACTTTTGAATAGATAATATACTGAATTTTAGAAATAGCTTTATTGTTTGTGGACAAATTAGACATGTTAAGTATAAATAAAGCTAAATAACACCAACTTATAAGAATAAGACAGTAAAAATAAGCCTATATCTTACTCAATGTTAACATTTTTGATAAACTGAATGTTACTTTGTGAAACTTGTATGTGCACGTGTGTGTGCATGTACACATACTTGATTTTCTCTAAGTTGATGGGTTATTATACATGTATTTTTAAAATTCAATAAGACATTTTGGTGATCTTTTTATATCAATAAATATATATTTATATCAGAATATTTAATGATTATAGAGTAGTGTTATATGTATGTATCATAATTTACTTATTCATTTAGTGGGTTATTTCCAATTTTTGGCTGTTATAAAAATGTTATAATGAACATACATATTATATATATCTATATCTTTTATATATATATCCTTTATATATATATATCATATATATATATTTTTTTAATACTAAATTTTATTTTTTTCAGTGTTATTCAAGGTTCATTGTTTATGTACAACACCCAGTGCTCCATGCAATACATGCCCTCCTTAATACCCACCACCAGGCTCACCCAACCTCCCACCCCCTTCCCCTCCAAAACCCTCAGTTAGTTCCTCAAAGACCACAGTCTCTCATGGTTCGTCTCCGCGTCCAGTTTCCCCCAACTCCCTTCTCCTATATATATCTTTTAATATTTTTGTGATTAGTTGGTTCCTTAGGATAATTTTTGGAAGTAGCATTGCAAATTCAAAGCATATTGACATTAAAAGTTTTAACACTTACTCTCAAATTAACATTCAGAAAAGTTCTACTCAGTTTATAATATCCTCAATGGTATATGAATTTTTTTGGGTGGGGGGAATGCCTGGGTGCTTCAGTTGGTTAAGCATCTCCCTTTGGCTCGGGTTTTGATCCCAGGATCCTAGGATCAAGTCCCACTCCCACTCCCTGCTCAGAAAGAAGCCTGCTTCTCCCTCTGCCTGCTGCTATTTTATGAGCCTATTACTATATTTCTTTTAATTATTTGTGGTTCCAAGTAATTGTTTTTTAAAATTTTCTAATTCTGTGAGAAATATATAATAAAACATTTCCACAGCTTTAAAACTACTAACAGAAATATGTAAATATGTAAAGAAAGAAAATTGAAGAAATGGAGTGAAAATTAAAAAAAAAAAAAAGAGACAGCTTGTGCTGTCTCTCTCTCTCTCTGACAAATAAATGAATAAAATCTCAAAAAAATAAAAAAAAGAAAGTGTTTTTTTCCCCAAACCCTCACTAATACTAGTTTTTGTCCAGTTTGTAAAATATTTTGCCAGTATTTTAGGTGAAAATATTTTATTTATATTTCTTTGATTGTTAGTAGGTTATACACATTTTTGTGTTATTGGATATTTACATTTCTTCATTTGTACATTTCTTCTTTGTATTCTTTTTAATATATCGAAGTGCTTATAACAATGCACTTTTTATTTAATAAATGAAGGATATACAAAAGATTTGACAGAGAATATAAACCAGGTCACCACCATGGTCAGATACAGTAGTCTGTGGCCCAGGTTGAATTATTGATAGTTTTAAGAATCCTTGAGTGGAAAGACCATGACCTTAAAAAAGAAAAAGTTTATCTATCTATCGAGATATAATTATATTACATATAACATTGTATTAGTTTTAGGTTTACAACATAATGATTTTACTTATTAAAAAATGTTCATGTTCATATTGTCTGGTACAGTCTCTCACCCATGGTTGTCATTTGCTAAATGAAAGAATGAACACAAAGAATAATGGGACAATCCATGGTGTTTGGGTGTTCTGAGGATTCATTTTCCTAAACAGATTGTGATTTTCTAGAACACATTTGCTCTGGTAGTTCATTCTCTATCTTTTTAGATTTGGGCTGCCCTCAAGACAAAGCAGTCACTTTTATTTTGGAAATGACCTAAGCTTTTTTAGTTCTTTAAAGAAGTAACTTACTTCAAATTGTGTATTGATTCTTGTGAGTTAATTCTTAACTCTTTTCCCATCATAAAATGTTACTTGTTTATTTCTAAATTGTCTGCAGGAGGAAATATGCATTAAGGTTTTCTTTTTTATAGCAATGAACTGTGTGATTTTAGAAGCTTATGCTTTTTACATTGTTTGCTCCAAAATGCACCAATAGTATAAAGCAGTTGATAATGAGATTCAGAGTTGCTTTTAACATATGTAGTAAGACTACATTGATATGACAAATGAGATTTATTGACTTCATATTGATGTATATTAGAATATTATTTGCCTTGAATGTCTAGAATCTGATTTGTTCCAATTTAAAATATTTCCAGAGTTAGAGATCTTAATTTCTAAAGAGTTCAATGACTGAAAAATTGAGATATATGTCAGCAACAGTATTTTTTGGATGCATTTTATTTTATCCCCCATCATTTAAATGCAAATGGAGGAATGGGCTATGTTGTGTATTTTGCATAATTCCAATTCATGCCTTCAAAGGAATAGTTGCCAGAAAGACAAGGTGTAATTATTTTTATAATATGTAAGTATTGGATTCTCCCAGAGTTTGTGCTTTTGGATAAACAGTATTTTGCTATAGATTTATTTTGTGGATAACTTCATATTATAATTTATAACTCAGGGCAAGATAAAATGTAAGAATAGCTTATATCAGAACAAGTATTCTTTGCTGGATTTCAATAGTACACAGAGTGTGTCCACATAGTGTTATCGGGTGTTCCAGATAAAATTGTTCTCCTGGATCTGAAAACATCAGAAAGCTGTGAGAAAGGAAATGGTGTTATGCCAAAAATAAATTCAGAGCTACCTTTCCTGGCCAGACCCTTCTGTACTTGTATCCATGGAAGCAGGCATCATAGAATTGTTGGAAACTAGTGAAACTGGAGTGAAGAAGGCCTGAGGCACCATTTACAAAGAGAAGGAAGTCTAGTGAAGAAACCTGATAGGTGTATTAACCATCAATACATAAAACTGTCCAAATGCCCAGGACTTTATTTTCTATCATTTCTGACTGGAAAATAGGATAAATTATCTGGGCTAAGTAGGCAAAAGCATATTAAAGAAGCTGGGGAAAGGCTAAGTTAGATATTTATTTCATATCTCAACTTCAGATGCCTAGTTCATTATAGCCATTTGCACTACAAATATAACATTGGAAATAGTGTTTCCTAGAAATGATGTTGATCAAGATCCATTTTTTTCCAAAATGCATTTTGCTTAAATCCAGTTAGCTAACTATACAGGTTAGTTAACTAACCTAGATGTTTACTAGCTATATTTAAAAAATATGAATTGAATAAAACTAATCTCTAAGTCTAGGAAAGTTTCTGACCTACATTAGGAACTCAAGCTCCATTATTATTTTAAGTTGAACACTACTCATAACCATTCTCACATTTTGGAAAGAATATGGCCTTTGCAACAAAGTTTCTTTGTTTTCATGGAACTAAAAATGTGCTGTATTTAGACCAAACAATAAAAATAAACTACCAAACTACCTTCTAATGCATGGGGGTTCTGGAGAGAGGAAACCATAGATATTTAAAGGCATAAAGTGACTCATTGCGCTAGTTAAAACTTTTTACAAGGCTCGCTCTGTGTGTGTGAGTTGCATCTGTTACCTCTTCAGCCAGAACTAAAGTGTGTGCAAGCAAAAGAATTTTGGATTGACTTGTGCTTTATAGAGAATGCATTGCATATAGACTAAGTATCTAAATGTGTTCCATACCTTCAACAGAACAAAAAGTGCATCTTTTCATTTTTATTCTACCAATAAGAGATTCCTGTTGGGCACATCCAAGGTATTTTCTGTGAAGTGCATTCATTTTAACTTGCAGACATAAATTAAACATGTTTTTCAAATGTAACTTGTAAGCCTCTATTCCCTCAAAAATTATTTTCTCCCTTTTGTTTTTACTTATTGATACTTTAAACACCTACTTTATGATTGACTTTTTTTTTTTTTAAGCCATAGTGGACAGAGGTATGGTATTCCTAGAGGTAGGACAATGGAATAAGTGTCTCTTTTGGTATTATTATCTTGGAAAAAGTTGTTAGAGTAGATGGGGACAACTGCCCGAATTAAGACTAGTGTAATTTGTAGACAGAATGTATATACTCCTTTAATAGAACATATAAGTGCAAATTACTTATATTTTTAAATTTCATTTTCTGTCTAAACTTTCAGGTCACTTTCATGAATTCAAAGGCAATTTACCAGTGATTTCTGGGTGCTGGGGCTGATTTTTTATCCGTATTTGTAAGTATTGGTTTATTTATTACTTTTCTCATTGCATAATGAAACAGTTATGGTTTATAAGCAAGAACCCAATTCTTTTTGCATGTGAATTTTTATTATTTTTTCTGTTACTTTAAGTGTTACTAGGTTTTTGCAAGTGTTTTCTTCAGAGGACTATAGAAATAGTACCAGCTGGTGAAAAATATCCCAGTTTATTGTGACTTTTCAGTGAAATAACACAATGGCACTTGTTACAATAAGCTGGAAGAATAAATATCTTACTTTTTGAAGATGGGGCTCAATTATAGGAATGAATTACCTTAAAAGGGCTAGTCTATATACACATGAATAATTTACCCTGGTAACTTCTTACAGTCTTCTGGTTGTCTGGACTTGAAAAGTACTGTGACTGTGCACATAGAAAAGATGTGAGATGATACAGAATTCAAAGAGCTGTCAGCACATGAGGAGATTATTGAATGTATAATGTGTATCCAAATGGGGGTATTCCTGCTTTCTTCACCATCCCCAAAACACTATTAAGTTCCAAATGATATTTGGAAGAACAAAGATAGCTTTTTCTCAGAAAAGAGGTAATTTCAAGAAAAAAAATGGAATGAACTTGATCAATTACAGTATTTAAATTGATACATATTTATTATATAGAAGTAATTTAGAGTATGAGGTGGGTATTAAAAATGTCTGCATATATATAAGAACATATTTAAGTAACTCGAGTTTAAAATATATTTATGTGTGTATATTGTTGGAATCTAAGGAGCTCATGTAATTTCATAGCAACAAAGAAGAAACTTGTCCTCTGTTAGTGTACTCCTACAAAGGAGTTTAAGAAGATAGACTTCAAGGAAAAGTATTTTAAAAAACCCAACATTATAAATTCGAGTTTAAGCTATTCAGTATTTAAGGAAAGCACAGTGAATATTTATTTAAAACCAGCTTTATCTTTCTTTTAGTAGTAGCATTGATTGGGACAGCATTTTGAATCAACTTAAAAATAGATCTGAATGTTTAAAATTGTTTAATACATTTTGTATATATTTAATGCTTTATGAATGAGTACATTATTTTTATGGAACTATCAATTCACACTTTATTATTTGAAGACTTAATTCTTATGTAAAACACAAAATATTTAACTGCATAGCTCCTTTGGATTAAATATAAGCTTTTAATTTGTGTGAGGTCTCATAGTGAGGACTAGGATGCAAAGAAGATGGAGAAAGAAATGTAAAGTATCTTTGAAAGGCTCTCATGGAAAAGGATAATTCCAAGGAGTTGAGCTTATCCTGCTGGAAATCTGAGTGAAAGGAAACAATTTTGAGTTGTTCAAATCTTATCTAGTTGCTTTGTCCTTTCTTTTACCTCCTTTCTCTCTTCTTTCCTATCATTCAGTCATTTCCTTTAGTAAGTTTTTAGGAAGACTACATTTTTAAAATGACAAATACAAGACAATTATTGGCAGTTCAACCAAGATGACTTTTATTAAAATATTAAAATACAGTTTACATTTCTCATTACCCAAAGGCTCTCTTTTCTGATTTCTTTAGTCTTCCTCTGTGTTCCCTCTCTACCAGACATACACAGGCTAGCTTTGAATGGACATGATCCAATTAGCTGAGATTTTTCTAGCGATCTAACAGAGAGACTAAAATTAGAAGAAAGGATACTGTGGCTATAGTTTTCATATGGTTACTTCTGGAGTTCAACTTAAAAAAAAAAAATCCTTTAGTCAGTTTTGTCTGATCATGTAAGCAGAAGTCATCTAATCATTTAGGCCCAAAGTAATTGTTTTTCAGTCTTGAGAATTTCCATGTTAGTTTAGGGCATGGACTTTGTTGCTCCTCAATTCAGTGGTCTCAAGCTTTGTTAGGGCCATTTTCTAACTGTGGAACCTTCTTATTAAAGGACTAGCAGGATACTGTGACTAAGATAAGTCAGATAAAATTAACATGGCATCCAGAATGCTTGAGTTCCTATTCCTTTCAATTATTGCAGAGACCACCACTTACACAGAATGCTGAGGTAGTTAAAGCAATGGAAATATTTATTTAGTCTGGCCTAAGAACAAGCAAATGGGATCAGTGACAATGGCTTCTTTTAGGAACTTTAATTTCCATCCTGGAACTGCTTATTCGCTACATGATCTAAGGCAGAAAGTTATACCTCATGGCAATGGGAAGGTTTCTTAGTAAGGTGTGCAAAAGCCAGTCTGTGAGATAAGGAAGGTGGGATATTGTTTTGCACATCCATAATGAATGGGCCACACCAAGGGTGTGTGAGAACTGACTAGAATCTTACCTACTCACATCAACTGCCTGTGTCAGGAGAGGAAAACACTGTGAAGGAAAATCATTATCTTCTCGGAAGCTGAAAGCATCTTATTCTATTTTTTTTTCCTCTTTAAAGAAATAAAACTACCCTTGACTTTTTCAAAAGTAGGCATTGTTTAGGAAGACCTTGTTTTGCATGTTAATATCTCAAATTTAATTTTTTATCTCTAATTTAAAAATAATTATATAATTCCAACCATTCAATTTTACCTTGGCAGTAAATTATTGGTTAAAAAACAAAACAAGGGGTACCTGGGTGGCTCAGTGGGTTAAAGCCTCTGCCTTCGGCTCGGGTCATGATCCCAGGGTTCTGGGATCGAGCCCCGTGTCGGGCTCTCTGCTCGGCGGGGAGCCTGCTTCCTCCTCTCTCTCTGCCTGCCTCTCTGCCTACTTGTGATCTCTGTCTATCAAATAAATAAATAAAATACTTTAAAAAAAAAACAAAAAAACAAAACAGAGGTAGGTCATTAAATACCCTGCTTTTTCAGGTTATCCAGGCCTCTTAAATAATTTGATAATGAATTTACTTTTATAAAATTCTGTCTCTGTTCATGGTCTTGAATGGCAACCTTTTCCCTGAAAAGATACAGAAGTATTTTATTCTCTGGCACAAGAGTTGATTATTGCTTAACCCCATGCTTGAGGCCATAATCTTAATTTGATATAACAGTTGCTTTTACAGACATTAAATTGGCTGAGTTTTGTGAAAACTGTTAGGTGAATCAGAATTATCCTTTTGCAGAGTAGTAGGACTCAAATATAGGGTTTCATGGTGTAAATTCAGTGTTCTTTCCATAAAACCAAGCTATCCTGTCACAGAGAATTTTAGCTCTCTTTTTGTTGTTGTTTTTGATCACTATCTCAGTCTCCATTTGGTGGCTGTATAAATATTTTTGAAAAGTTGAGGTAGAGTAAGTCAGGGAAGAGATTGTAGAGTGCCTTCCACCAATTCTTGTCCTCATGTTCCTGGATCATTTGGTCCTCCCTGACATTTTCCTATCCCCCTGTTCTAAAACTGCCACACGTCATGCTTCAGCTGAAATTTTTTGAATTGTGTAGATTTTCAGGAAACAAACAAAAAAATCACAAATTCATCTCTTGTGGTATTTTAAAATGGAAAGAAATCTGTTTCAAACTACGCATAACCCAGACCAAAGCTCCCTCAGTGAGAATGCCTGTGATTTTCAGGACAAGTAGGTCTAAGTGCATTATCTTTAAAAAATATTATTCCAGGCTAATCTTGACATAGAGCAGGTAAATAAAAAAGATGAGCTGTGAAAATCCACAAATAGGGCTTGAATGCCATTTTCCATGACAACGGGAGCTGCCCCATGAAAGCATTAATGCTGGGAATGTAAGGAATTTAAAATTGTGCCTTCTCAGTTTTACAGTTGTGTGCTCATGTTAATTAGAGATATACTGACATTTGAAGTATCTACATTAATACACACAGCTACTGTACATTTGTGAACTGTGGCTAGAAATCTACTTTAATTGAAAGCAGTTCACTAATCTGAATGTGTATATCCATTACATTTTAAGCTTTTAAATTTTATATACTAGTGCCCTTAGATACTTGTTCTTTCTGCTCTCTTCACTTTCTGTTTCTAATTTATTTATACCTGAAAGGACAGCCTGGCCTATTTTAATCTCCTCGTGGTGTTTTGGAGCAATATTGATGGAATTTTGAGGAAAAAAACATTTTTAATAGTGTCCTTTATTTGCTATAGTTTGAATCTCTTTCTAAATTGTTGGTTTTCTTGAAAACCTTTAAGATGGCCTGGTGCCGAAATAAGGTAGGATTTAGGTTTATGGAATTTGCTTCACTGGTTATATTTAAGCACTAAAAAGCTACTCTTCAAGTCATGCTATGGTTTTAGCCAGAAAAGCCCAGTATTAGAGACCTTGATGGGATGAACAGTAAAGAGGCATTCTATGTTTCCTAATATAGTTAGATTTCACCCTTCCTTCTTGATGTGAAGCCATGTATCTTAATTTTTGATTTGCAAATATGTTCACAATAGCTCGAAGACTTCTTGAGGTCATCTTTAGCCCTAGCATTTTTTGTGTTTGTCTCTCTTACAAAAAGGAAGATCTTACATGTATTTTTTGCAAGCTTGTATTTCTTAAGAATTTGCCTGTCAGGATTTTTAACCTAATTGTTTTGTGCTTGTTGTCTAATGAAACTCCCACACTTACTTTTTGGACCAATCCCTGAATATTACACAAGACCAGTTAGAAAGAAGCTTCCTTTTAGTAAAACCAGAACAAACTGCTCTAAGAAGTTTGTAATACTCTGGACTTGTTTCATTAAACCGTTTTACTGGCACCATTAAACCACTGAGACCTGGGACCATTAAAACTTACTCAGTATTATTATTAGGATGATGGCCTATTTTACCCTGTATTACTTTTATTCACTGTGCTAAGTTCCTCTGTTCTTTATTCTTTCATGTTGCTTACTCCATATTGTGCCATCACAGCACATTTGGTAATTCCAAGTTAATTGCTCAATTATCAGTGATAGTCATGAAGCACTTGAAACATGCGCAGTAGAAGATTTAAAGAAATTTCAAAATAAGTTGGTGTGTCATAATCTCAAATGTGAAACATGCCAATATCTGCAGGCATAAAAATACACTGCCTGAGCTAGGCATTTCAGGGAAGGCA